GTTTTTTAAATTGTCGGAAAGTACAGCTTCAGTTTAAGAACAAAGAACTAGAACCCACTTCCAGTTCCCACTGTTCTGAGATGTGCTGGTGGACAGAGAACAACAGACTGAGGCTACAGAGAGGAATCAGTCCCTTTGGACTCTCCCCTGCCTCAAGTCCATTTTCTTTCTTTCTTCATTAAGACAGAGAACAGATTGATCCTGTTCAAAGAGTTGATATTTACATTATTAGTTCTTTGAGTTTAGATAAGTATTCCAGACTCTGAGCTCCTCTGACAAACAACAGCACTGTTCATCCCATCAACACCACTAAAATAGTGACAGTCTCGGCATGAAATGGAGCAGCTGCTTTAGCAGCAAGCAGGAACCTGACATTTCAGAGTGACAAGAATACTGTGTACAGCTGAAAGCAAAAGGAAAAGAAACGTTTAGGTAGATGGATATCCAGGCACCAATTTTGGGGAAAGAGTCATACCTCCCTACAAAGGAGGTTTTAGGATTCAGCAGTAGTCTAGATTTTTAGCATTAACCTCAGACTTCTGCAGGAGCACAGCCAAATTTCTCTTTGTGATGGACACCGAAAACAGCCTTTCTTACTGTGGATTGCACCTTTTGAGTCCATTTGCAGCCAGCAAATTAAAGACCCCACTCCTGTCAGCCTTTGCTTACCCTGGTTCTCAGTCATTTGCCTCGGTTTTCTCACTGGTTTGGCTGTGCTGCCCACCCTCTCTTCCCAGACTTAAGCAACCGCCTGAGCAAAGCATTCAGTTACAGCTCAGCCTAGCAGCATATCCTTTCACCACAGTGTATATTTCTAAATCCTCMTTTCCCTTTGAGCCTTGCTATTCTCGTGCTCCAAGGCCTTATCATGTGTTCCTAAACACTTTTTGACAGCGAAGTTGAAAGGATTCCTCAGCCGGGCAATGAGGACAGCAGATACCACAGTTTTGAGCACGCCAGTCCCAGGTCACTCAGGCACCGAGAGGTGTTAGGCCTTAGTCCTCAATGCTAGTCACGGTGCCAAGAAACCACTCTCCTCCTTCCTGCACAAAATTGGACATATCTGGCTTCTCCAACAAAAACGTTCAACAKTCATGTTCTTCATGTGTCTGATTTAAGACACATCACATGGAAATACTCTCAGCAGCCACCRTCACTTCCTGCTGCCCACCTAGTGTCACTTTTCAGTGAAGTTGTAGGGCTGATTTACCACATTGCCACAGATCACTAATGCAGAACCTTAAGAGGGAGGGGACTGCAAACAGAGTCCTCCCTCCTCCCTTTTAAAAAATTTTGAAGTTAAGTTGTTTTAGGCTAACTGTGAAGGCCCCCATTTACTGGAAATCGAGGCATCAGTGAGGTCAGCAAGAATCTTATTTGCTTCATCAAGTTTTATGCAGAGCCTAGCACCAATACTGTGTTGTCAAAGGAACTACCTACCAGCTGCTTATTTGTCTATTTTTTTCCCAGAAAACCTAAAATGRCAAATTCTGTCTATAAAACTCAGAAGAAAAAAAAAAAAAGTTTCAAGCTAACATAGATATGTTATTTTAAACATTTTAAACTTTTAAAATAACTTTTAAAATTGCAATTAAAGTKAAAGTAAATTAAGATCAGGCAAGACAATCTAAAGTTACAGATATTTTTATGAATGTTTACCAAATCGTTAATCCAGTCTACTTATGAAAGCATTTTTTAGATCATTTGTTTCTTCAAACATGTGTTCAACCCATTTCTCCACTTGCCAACCACCTCCTCTTTCCCCAGTTCTCACAACCCCTTTCAGCTAAACACATCCACATTCCCAAGAAAGAAAGAAACTTTTGTTTTACCAGAACATCTCGTGCAAAATGTCTTCCACAGATTTCACAAGGAAACAAATCTTGGCTTCCAGTAGCTATGTAAAATTCAAAACAGGAAAGTCTTGGTTACACAGGGCTTCTTGACAACAGAATCAAAGTGCAGACTGGGTGCTGCTTGCTGAAACCACTTGTGTTGTGAAAAWGGGACCTCTGCAGTCATGTTGCAGGGCTCCCTTTTGCAAACTGCTTGCTCTGTTTTGCTYGCTACTGTGAAGCACAAGCTTTTTTAAAAGATAATTGAGAGGGTTTTTTTTCCCAGAAATTTTAAAAAAAGTCMTAAGGCAGGTAACACTAACTCTGGATATCACACAATTTGTCCTCAAAGGCAAGTGTTTGGTGACCCAGCAGCATTTACAACTCCTTCCTTCATGTTCCAGCTCTCACTCGCACAGAAAGGCTCRGCCTTTCTCCTCCCACCCCTCTTCGCAGCGGGCAGCTTACTGCTCCCCTTCTTCCAAGGCACAAGGAATAAACATGTTGTAAATGCTTGGGCTTCACCTTTCTTTATCCCAGCTATGGGATAAAGCTTGTCCTTTAGATAAGCTTTTTAGAAAGACTTAAGAGCCTGGCAGCTGTGAGGACAAGTAGCAGAACCAGCACCAAGCACAGACAGGGTTTGCTGATGCACAGTGAGCTTTAGGAAGGGTAAGATTTACAGTACAGTTACAGAAGTAATTTCTGCTCTCTGAGTAAGGATGTATATTATAGCAGCAACAGCCTAGCTTAAAGTTTTAAAACTTAATCATGCCTAAGTTTTCATAGACCAAAACAAATCGGCAAGAACTCCTAGCTAGTGCCAGCTGGCAATGCCCGTGTCTCCCAGGACGCGCAGCATGCCCGTTCCCTTCCTAGTTACCACAAGCTACAAGTTTTAAATAACAGCATATGTAATTTCAGCAATACAGGCCCACTGGTGGATGTACCTAGGGTTCCATCCCATAACTGCAACCAATAAGGAGCAAAGGAAACCGGACCCGACTGGTTTCCCTGTGAAGGCGAGGCCAGGCCTTCTGCCACGAGCTCACAACAGGGAGACAAGGCCGTTCCCAAGGGCGCTCCACAGGGATTCCGGGAGAAGGGCTGAGGGGGGGCGCACTCCTTCCACTCCCATCGATTCCTTTTCACTTGTACATCACAGCCAGGGTCCCCAGCTCTGCTACAGTCCAAACTTCTACTATGCCAGAAAGAAGCAGTATCTKAAGCGTGTTGTGTTCTTCATTCTTAGGACAGATCATCAGATCATTCCAATGATGAGCTAAGCAGTCCCAAGAACCTGTTTTATAGATGCAAAATTTAGTCTTATGTATCTAAATACCAACCAAGAAGAAAGACCTGATTAGCTCAGTCCTATCCTAACCACAAAATACCCACACAAATAGATGTCCATTTTAAGAAGGGCCCATAGATTAGTCCGTACAYGGATCATCTCCTAATAGTTGAATACTTTACCATCTTCCATAGACATAAAAAAGAAAAAAAGAAAGAAAAGGAAAACAACCCCGTGACTCGCAGAGCAGTATTTTCACAAGATTTGGAAGCGATTCATACTGAAACAGACTCTGTACCCAAATAAAAAGACTTTGTGCTAAGGCCTATCAGTGTTATCTCCAAATCATACAAAATTATAAACTCTCTTACCTCTTCCTCAAGATCTTGCCACACTCCTAGGCATATAGCAATTASTACAGATTTTTATTAGAGAAACAAGGCAATTATCCAATCTTACTGATCCAACCACTCTATCTATGCTTCCCTTTCCGTTCCCAAGCAACATCTTCCCGTTCATCTAAGATTCATCTTGGCTATATTCTTCCTTTAAAGCGTTTCCCTCTGCCTCTCACACAGTCTATTCTGCTCATTCCCCGAAGGTTTAGGCTAAAACTGTTTATTTTGGCAAGCACAGTATCACTGAATCAGTGAAGGGGGGTCAGGAAAATGGGCAATCTATTAGAGGATGAGGGACTTTTCTCCTATGCAAAAGTGTATGAGTTGAAGACRCACTGCTTTCAGCAAAACTTGTTTTTTTCTTTAAGCAATCCATCCAACACACCAAACCACATCTGTTACTCACTTGATCCATTTAACTCCTTTCCTGGTAACTGACTCATCTCAGTTGGCTGGTTTCTCAACTCTCCTCTTGGGCGCTGTTGTCAGGAGGCACGAATGCCAGGGTGCCCTCATTGTGCAGACGCTGAGAACRCGCGAAGGCTTCAGGTCCCATACACCAGTTAGCAAATAATCCACGYATTATGACACATGCTGGCTCCCCAGCAGCCCATGGAACTCGGTACAGCCAGGCAGACGCCCTGGCTAAGTGGCAGCTCCCAAACTTTGCCTGCCTAGGATGGCAGTCATGTTCAGTTGATCTGGTTGACACTGAATCTTGAACATTTCTGATGAAATGGAGGCTTAGTCTAGATTAAAAGGCCTCATCAGCCCTTCYAAAAGCTCTTACCTCTCAAGCACTCACAAAAGAGGAATATTTAAGATGCTTTGAATTTAGCAGTAGTCAATTCACCCTACTGATGCACTGATTAGTGCTCCATACAAGGGAGGTAACTTTCCACCCAAGCGCAGAGGTACATTCAATCTATAGTCTCAAACCTATAGCTGAGGGTTTCTCACGAATACAGAGGGCTCCTAAGCAATGAATGCAAGTCTGACGCATGAAAGGACTGGTCCCTATCAGAACTACTCATGTGGACACTACAGAAATTTAGGATCAGATCAAGCTCTCTGCCCTCTTTCAGAAAGCTGTCTTTGCAGCAATTGTGATGAGTCATGAGCTTGTATTTCAGTGAAACCAGACTGAAGGCAAGACTTTAGCAATAATACTTTAAGAAAAACAAGATGATACCTTCTGGTGCAGACAGCTATTTTTTCAAGCTTTCGTACCAAGTAGGTGCTGTTTACCACATTCGTTTGCATAAAAGATTCACCYGACTATTGATACTTGCAATAACGTTCCTTTCGATGCTCAGGAATGGTCACTGCCTGCTGCAACTGCAAAACTAACTCCAAAGATTTTCTTGTCCAGCTCTGCACAAAAATGTCATTTTACATCTTTTATAATTACAGATTTGTTTTTATAGCACTACACAAACAATAAAAAAAACTACAGAAACACAAAGGGATGAAAATTTGTTGAATTATGAGACTGCTGGATCAAGGCACTATGCCTACACATCACTATAATGGAAGGAAGACAACTGCACATATAGRTCTGTAGGAACTCAAATAACAACAGAAGGGTTCAAGTAGGTCAAATCTGCAGAATTCTGCTGATTTGCAGAATATATTCAACAAACATGAAATTTAGTTCAGCGATAGCCACATAGAAAAATATTTTTCTTTTTATTATACATTATCTGGTATAATGCAGATTCTCAATAGCTGTCATGTCATTCATGACAAAACACAACAATATTATTACATTGTTTAATTTCAGTTCAGAATGCATAACTTCATAAAGAAGGACAAGTTGCTGGATCTCGTTACAGAAATAKCTGAATATCTTTTTTGTGCATGACTACTAAACCTGTAAGGTATCAGTTCCCTTTTCAAGGCAGATAAAAAGGTAAGCACCACAAAAGCTCCCTGGTTTCATTAAGACAGTTTCAGTCCTTGGACATTCCGTCTGAGATTGAGCAGCTCTTTTTCTTGCCTTGTTTTCTCCAATTTGAAAGCTAGTCTGTTGGCTTTCTTCTCCATTCTACGTTCCTGTGTAAACAATTAATAAAAAAAATTACAAAACAGACAAAGTGTGCAAAGAGAAACCATGCAAATCAACTCTTCTAGATCACGAGAACAGCAGTGACCTGGGCAATAATCTTATTTATGACCACTGATTAGTCAAATCAATCTGTGCACCTCCAGGACTATCATCTCTAATTAATGACAATACCTGTTCTCRTATAAAACGGCTGACGTATCAGCAGGGCCAACGAGATTTACCTCCCTTTACTTCAAAGGGTTTCTTTCCACTGTGTGTTATCTGAAATATTACTTCCAACATAATGCTGGAAGGAGCCCTTGCATTTCCTTATTATCTATACAATAGTGACTACACTAAAAGGCCCAAAAATTCCACAAATGAAAAGCAGAACRACAAAATTACAAAGTTAAAATTACAAAGTTAACTTCCTTTCCAGCAGATTTTATTTTTTGAAAAGCAATGACTAGCCTTTGAGAATGAAAAGACTTTCCCACCCATTTCCAGACGCACACCAAAAGGGCTTTAAAAAAGTTGAATCAGAACTCACTGTATAATAGATTTTTCCAGGTTTCACTTAAATAAGGAGTACATTTTACCTTTCGTTCTTCTTTTATTGCCTGCTTTCTCGCTTTACGATCCTCTTTGGTCTCATTTTTGGAACGTGGCTGTGTTGCTGCTCTCGGCAGGTCACTGCCATTGATCATCTGCATGCGTTCCACTTGCTTAGCTGTAAGACCTTTCTGAGGCAAGATGTGTAGAGGAATTCCAGTCTTCTGGGATATTTTGATTGGTTTGGGCTAAAATATAACATAAATATAATATATAAACACACAGATGGTATCTTAACTTTCCAAGAATTACATATCATGCTATCTTACCTATACAGTATAAAAATATGACTTACAGTTCAGATTTGAACAGTATTAAATGTGTAGAATTTTCCATACTATGCTTTCCCCACAGAAATGACACTCCAAAGCATCTTCCTGCYTACTGCAGAAATTCTGATTTACAAATTTATCAGCCAAGTCTTCCTAATTTTTCATTTTAATAGAAAATCTAAATCCTTGGGCGAAGAAATAACATCAGATGCTCTAACCCTATTTTCAGCTCCCTCCTTCCTTCACATAACAATTTTAGGAGCAGGCATCCATTGAGAAAGGAATCACTTTTGCCTCAACCATTCTCAAACCTGGCTGTCATTGAGAATAATTTTCATTACTTTACCTTAGATGGTTCCTCAATAAGCTTGGGGTGATTATACAAGTTTGAATATGTACCTACAGTCAAAAAAAAAAAAAGTGAAAAAAGGCTAGTAAACAGAAATTAGGCTATTAAACATTTATTATGAATTGCACTACTGCTTAACTTTTGAAGATAGAAAATTGCAAGAATTACCCTATCTACACAGAAGCAGYAGCTTCAAGCAGAATTTCTGCTGTTGTGTACCAGAAGCATAAACCATTTAACTCAGAAGCACTGTTCCTAAAGCTCYGAGATCACCATTCATTTATTTTGAGATCTGGGAATAGATTTAAGAATTTCAAAATACTCACTCAAAATCGATTCACAATCCCACTTTTCTTTGGATTCTTCAATAACTAGAGCTACTGTTTCTTCCTTTTCTTCTTCACTATCTTCATTAACAGGAGAGTCTATATCTTCAGAGGGTTCAAGAGTATCCAGTTTCACACAGCTTTGAAAAAAATCCAGAGAAAAGAGAGAGATAAATATGKGAAGACCAAATTTTCTTTTACTGAAAATGTGTAATTTTGTAAAACAAGTCTCCCCTCAATAAAACTCCAAACAATACAAGCTAGCTCTGAAGTAAACTTGAGAGAAATACTTCTGCTTATATAAACATCTGCAAAATAATCTCAAGCATATCTAAACAAGAAGGATAGATGACAAAACAAATATATTTGCGTTATAGAAGTTTCTGGTAGGAAGTATTTGTGAGGACAGGGCAGGAAGTTTTCTTGAAAGACGCAATCTCCAAGTAGACATAGGGCAAATACACACTCAGGCTTGTAACTACTTAGGGAGCATTTCTGAGCACCTACTTTTTTGCTTTCTCTTTGTAGTAATCATTCAGGACTTCTTGTAACCGAGCRTTGTCAGTGTTAATATAGCCTTCTAATTCCACATTATCCAAAGCTCCAATCTCATCTTCATCAAATTGTTCAAAAAACTAAAATAAATGCATATTTATAATTAGATTGTATTTGTCATGCAATTTCTAGGTAGCTTGAAGATCAGCATATTTTTTTCCTTTTGCCTCTCCCCACTAAACAGCCACCACCACCAAAAAACACAMAAAATTCTGCAGTAGGAAATATATTCCCTGCAGTCAGTATTCTGTCGGCATGGGAGCCACAGATTTACCTTTTAGTAATATACAAGTTAGCTTCTGCAACTTGTTTCTTATTTTGATGCACTATTGCAATGTGGACTTTAAAAAGCCTGTCACTGTTCAAGACAAAAATATGCATCGCCCCTGTTCTTTCTTTGTTCTGTGAGCACACACTTGGCATGGTGGTAACACATGGACTTCASCAGAAACCTGTACTTCATTTACGGCATGGAACTGAACCTCTCAGAAGGAAGTGTGACACTGGCTATGAATGCATGCTACAGCCACTGGAAAAAATTATCAGGATATTTCAACTATATCAGTGTTACACCTTTTAATATCAATTAATATTGCAATCTATTAAATATAACACCCTTAGGGCCTGAAATATAAAATAAACCATTTGCAAAGGACAACTTTTTGATGTCCTGAGAACTGAAGGCAATAAGAATTTCTGCGGGCCTACAAGACACCAGCTTATAAGAGGAGGACTCAAAAGCCAAAGAATGGCATTTCACACCATTAAATTTAGTAAGTTCACATTCATACTCTTGAGCTGCCTCACCTTCTCAAATCTGTCATCCAATAAGGTTAATTGTTCATTCCTTCTCATTACTGAAGACGTCATAGAATATTCTGTGAACCGACTCCTGGTTTCTTCTTGCATGAAGAGAAACTCTTTCATCTGTCCATTAACTCCATCTTCCGATAAASGGCCTTCTGAATCACAATCTTCATCACTACTACAATCGTCCTTATCATCACCATCCTCCTCTACATCTTCCCACTCATCTTCATCCTCAGCATCTGAACCACTGAACAGAAGGGCAAAACAGTTTCAGAATAATGCAACTGGTCTTCTTACAGCTCTACCCAGTGTTCAGTTATCTGACACCATTAAGTAATAAGAAATTTAAATACTGAGGAGTAAAGTTARAAAAGTATTTTCAAGTCACCAAATAAAGAGAAAGAATTTTAGCAAAAACAGTGCTATCAAAGTTAGCATAGCTAATGTTACCATAATGCTTCTTTGTCTAAAGTATTTCTGATAACCTCACTTTTGGTAACCAGATTTGTGATCCACAAGTTCTRTTCACATTCGCTTATGTCAAAGCATGGCGGGAAAAACACCACCTCCAACAAAAAAGCTGCATAACTAAATATTAAAACATGCAACATTTCTCATTGCTTGTATAAATGAGAATGGTACAAAGGCCCAAGGAAACAGTGTTCAGGAAGTATCACGTGAAACATTTCTAAAGGTGCTGTAAATAYAGATTAGTCTTGGTCAGTAATACTCCTGAAGTACTGTCGCTGTGACAGATTACCACCTGCTTTAAAGAAGAACAAAGAATCCTACATACTGCATACATATACGAATATAGACAGTTTTTAAGGTCAAGGTAACAAGTCAACTCTATTGTTTACCTTGAATAGTGCAGGAAAAATATTTTTTTAAAAAGGAATCAGTCATGTAACAGAAAGTAACACTCGCCCCCCGCCTTAACACACAAGAACTTAAGTTTGAAATCTCAAATCACAAATCACTTTTGCTTCCTACTACAACAGTACATAAAGCAGCAAATACCACCACTCCTATTTACTTCTAATATCAACAGTCCAATAAATTTCCATGTACCCTTTTTTTGGTTCATTTGCTTGCAGAACGAAATCATCTTCCAGAATATTTTCTGGATTGTCGAAGTCAAAATCATCATCAAGGGCTGCAACAATATCAGGGTCAAAATCCAGTCGTGGCCCTAAAAAGTTAAAGAAACATGTAAGTTGCTGTGACATCATGAAGCTACTTTCCAAGACAGAAAAAAGAAAAACTCATTTCATTAGTATTTGTAGTTCTGAGGTACAACAGGGCAAATCACCAGGCTATGGTCAATTTTCCTTATCCAGAAAAGAACACCCCAAAGAGGTTCAAGAGAACCTCAAACCCCTAAAAGACCTCAAAGTTGGCAAAAAAAACACCCCACAGTTTAAGGTATTTTACTTAGAATATTACACACAAAAAATATGCCCCAGAATAAGATATGCTAGAATAAGATATGATCAATTATCAACCAAGCCCTCACCTCCCAAGATTCCCAGCTCTACAGAATGTCAGAAAAACATTTCTCTACTGCAACTCACAGAATTATTTTTAGCAGGCTGTTGGGGACAGGGAGAACTACAGTGTTTGATCCCTATCACAAGAAATTGATAATTGCAAAGTGAATGCTTAGTGCAAACATAAATACACAGAAAAAACATAGATAAATCATGAAAAATGCAAGAAAAATCAAGTTCTGCACTTAGAATTCACACCAATCAAGTACTAAATTAGTACAGTAAAAGTATATTCCAAAACAAAACTGATGTGACCGTCAAAGTCAAAATTATCACCCAGTACCTAGAAGGTAAAAGATTTAATGATACCTGAAACAGGAGCAGCTTTATTTAACAAGCCCACATTCTCTTCAAACTCTGTGGCAAACACTGAAGAAGGCAACTTAATAGATGGGGCCTATTAAAAAATAAATAAATAAAGGAAGGAATGAGGGGGTCAAAATAGTTCTTCCTAAATTTTTTGTTCAGCTTCATATTAACAAAACATCACATGACCARAATGAACTCTGCAGGGGTTACTTCCACAGTAAAAACTGCTATTTATATCAAATTTTCAAAATTACTAGTGTAAGAAAGTTACAAAGCAACTAGATTGCTGACAGTGTTTCAACCCCATACGAATATTCTGCATAAACAACGACAGTATTTTTTCATCTCCAAAGCTTTTTAGAGAACAGCTGTAAAGAAGGTACAGTGATATTTATAAATATCTTAATGCATACTGGAAATTAGCTCTTTATTGAAAAGCTTTTTGAAGTTTACAAATACGCATCTCAAATAATTGTGCATCTTACATGAGGTCACCAAATTATGCTTGAAAGGCACTTCTCAGACAATCAGTTCTAATTAAAACTACAGTAGTTTGCAAGACCAAAGACACTGACTTGCCAGCTTTTCCTTTTAAGTTTAGAAAAGTCTTTGATTGTGGGTCAGAAGAAAACTTTGTATATAGATCACTGCCACTGTAACACTTGTGGAATAGGGCAAACMTGCTAACAGGATGCTAACCTCAGAAGTACAAGGCAAGTATCAAAAATACCATGCTTACTGCAATCTGCTGAATCTCGTCCTCTATATGTCCCTCATTTGTCACCACAATTCGGTTTTGGTGACCACGCACAGAAGGCACAAGCTCAGAAGGACCAGATGCTTCTTTCAGATGCTGCAAATAGTCATAGTCATCATCAAAGAACACTCCGTACTTCCGCTGCTCTTCCTTTCTCCACTCTTCATGTCCCTTGAAATTGTTAAACAAACAAAACAAAAAATTAGCAAATTACGGCCCTTTAAAGCTTATTAGCAAGAAGAAAAGAATCAAATCCACCAGAAGGCCTAAATTCTTTTTTTTTTTTTTTTAAAGAAAAAAAGAAAAGACAACACAGAAAAGTCTTTTGAAAACAGAAAAGACAGTAATAAAGTGTGGTTCAGCATGAAGTACAAATGTACTGAAAAGAAAACACCAGATTAAAACTCTGAGCAAATCTGTTTATATTAATTAAAAAAAAAGTACTTCAGAAGGAAGAATAACTCGTTAAGCTAACTGGACTGCTAGCACAGTGCTCCACATTTCTGCAGTAAAGCACCTAAGCACAGGTTTTTTACAATCCTCTGCATTATATTGACTTCACGGCAGTCAGATAGTCCTCTCTCCGCTCGTCATCCTCACACACAATCAACTAGAATGTTCTAACCACTYAGGCAAATGTTTAGACGCTGTCTAAGCAGTAAGCTAAGCAACATTTTYCAGAAGCAGCAGAACTACCAAAGCCTGTTCTTTAAGAGCAGGTGAGATGATCTTTTGTTGTGGTTGTTTTTAACATATTTGTATCCTTATGGCAAATTAGTCATTTTTCCATCCAGCAGGCAATAATTCAGAACTATCGTATCTCCTACAACTTTCCCTCCTGCCCCAGCCTACAATCTCCATGACCTTCCTTTTAATGGTCTTTGTTCCCACTTCTCTGTTGCCTCCTATTTCACCACCCACCTTCATGCTCACCGAGTACAAAGACTTGTTCAGAAGTGCATGTTTAGTGGTCAGCCAAAGGAACAGACATTTGAAGTCCTACATCTATCTTCTAGTAACAGAGTTTTAGCAGAGTTTAGCACACAGCTGATCTTTCCTGAAAGCTCTGCAACACAACACTTGCAGAACTTGCGTTCCTTTGCTGACAGGCATCTTAACTATTTCAAATGTGTGCAAATCCAAGAACAGGTCAGAAAGATACCACTCGAGTTTCACCTCCTTAAGGCAGCACACTAAAAATACTAACAAGCTGTTATCTGCACACTGACATTTAAGCATCTTCTCTCACGTTTCTGAATTGTAACACTGAGTATTTGCTTTTCTCTACTGCAGCACTTCTTATCTAAAACCTCAAAGCTAAAAGCAATTGTTTACTTTCTGGGTGGGCAGCAGCACTCTCTGGGGTGCAGTATCATCAGCAGCAAGCGGATCCCTCTGACTTCTGTGCACTAAGTGAAATGTTACAGCTTTCTTCTTCTCTATGAAGGGTTTCTTCTTCTTGTGAGGCTGAGAAAAGTAAAACAGACAAATGTTTATGTTATTCATTAGTTAAAAAAAAACGCATCTACAAAAGATCTCTTGCCTAAAATACACTGTATTAACATAAAATCATGAAATGTATACCTAAAAGACAAGGCAAGTTATTTTCTGCTCACTGCTTCTCCCTACATGCATACCAGTCACTTCGCATGCTCCAGGAGCACATGCAGCCATGTTCAGCTGCAAAATAGCAACATATCAACGCAGAATAATTATTTGATTATGGTATGAGCACCTTATCATGCAATCCTTTAAAGAAGTTCTCATRTAACTTCTTTCTAAATAATGGAGCTCATCTGAAACAAACTTCAACAAAGAAACACAGGAAACTGCTGAGTGGAAATTTATGCAGAGAAACAYAACCTCTTGAAAACTGTTTGAACAGATGCTCCCACACAAGGATTCTGACATCAACAGTCCAAAATTATGAACTGCAACAGTATGCAAAGGTTAACCTGAACATACACACATCCACACTCTGAATGAAAAAAAAAAAAATCTTACACAAGTAAAGGCCATGTAAGTTGTAAGCTAACACATCTCACTGAAATATTTTTAACCAAAATTTATGGCTCTGTTTACCCACTGGCATTTACTGRTAGCACATATACACAGCACAAAAACTTGTGCTAATCTAACCTATCTTCTTCCAACGTATAAAAATTACATGCCGCTTAGTGTCAAGATCCAGACTATATCAACTGTCAAAATGCGTATGTATTGAAAAAGAAAAAAATGAAAAAAAAAAAAGGGGGGGAGGGGGTAAGGGAAAAACACCCCATTCTTTAAAATCTTAAGAGTAATCACAAAAGGAAACGTAAGCAGCTCAGGGAAGCAGGCAACACGTCGCTACCACCGCTACGCGCCAGCCACGCGCACAACGCGGGCGGCACAAGCGGGACGCCAGGGACGCGGCGGCCGCGGGGCGCAGCGCCCAGCC